GGGGTGGGGGGGGGGGGTGGCGGGAACTTTTTGCACGTGTTTGACCTTGGGGTCTCTGGAAGTCCATGAAGATGACGTCTGGCAAATTTGAATCTACGACAACTTTTTCTCTACTACTCGAGGTCTCTCTACCCTGCAAGTTTCAGGAATTTTTGTTCGGCCGTTTCTTAGAAACGCCGGAAACGGGGGGTCCCCTTAAATTACCGTCAAGCAACCATCGAGATACAAGGTAAGAGATCGAGATGGATCAAAATCAACAGAGGTGGTCCACAAAGCTCTAGTCTAACACCAACGTTATTCATAACTTATCATAGTGATATGGCGAACTTTATCCCAGGAGCAATGTCCTTTTTCTTCGCCGAAGATTTGGCAGCTGTACTGGCCGGACAAATTGGATTAAAATTTACAGATAAATGCTTAGACTTGGAACGAAGTTTACAAACGTTTTTCAAACAACTGGAATTCTACTCCATATTAGCGGTACAACCTATTAATTATTCAAAAATACAAACTATGTTTTCGGCTCGTGTAGTACGTTATCCAAACCCAATGCCAGAAGTTCGATGTGGAGATAATGCGATTGAATGGGTCTCATCCTTCAAATATCTAGGATATTGGTTAACGACCAAGCTTGGGTGGGAAAATGTCATTGGTAAAACTCGTGTAAAGGTGCGCCAGAAAACAGCGTTAGTAAATTTGTTCAGAATCAACGGCACATCATCATCTAATTTTTGAAGAACTCTGTTTTCTACTTTCGTACTACCCTACTTTACCTGGATTTTCGGACTATATCCCCTATTCAGTGAAAGACAGCGCTTGGATCTAAATCATCTATACTACACATTGTTAAAACGTATATATAGGTGCCAATACTGGAACGACTTGGTCTTCTCAACAATTTATAATGAAAAATCGTTGGATGATCTCTGCTTCGCATACTGGAAAAAATACTCAAAAGCATTAGCAAAGTCAAGGGATGGATTCCTGCAATTAGAACAATCAGAATTAAACTCACACAGATCAGCTTGGCAGATTGGTACACAACGTATTCGCTGTTTGTTTAGATCCAAAAGATTTGTAGCACACATTGACGTTTTAGGACAAGTGTTCAACTGGATGACCATGTAAGGTTCTGCTGACTCACTCGTGTTACACAAGGAAGAGGAGCTACTAACTTTTTCTCTGTTTTCGGAAAGTTTTGTTTGAGAAATCTTGAACAAAATGACTTGAGGTCACGATGACAAAAAAAGAAAAAAAAAACGAACGAGCGAGAAAGAGAGGGAAGAGAGTTATCAAGAAATAAAAATAAAAAGATTAAATATAAACAACTCAAAGCAGCATGGCATAGTTAAAGAATGAAATATTCGCAGTAAGACAAGAAAAGAAAAGGATGAAGTGTAAACGCTATTAAAAAATATACATGTGTAGTAACATAAAAATAGGAGATAGTTATGGGTAGTCAGACCCTGCTTGCTTTAATACATTTTATCATTCTCCTTTCTATGCGTCATCTATTATTTCTTCCCTGCCTCTCTTTTTTTTTTCTGTTTGTATTTGAATCATCATATTTTCTTTTTACATTTGAATCATTTTTATCTAGCATAAAGTATTATGCAGCTAAATCGTCCCTTTAGAACCGACATAGTCATAGGGTAAAATTGCTTAATAAAAAAAAGAAAAATATCGATGTATACATAAATATGACACGCAAGAGAAACCAATATACGTATACATAATGTGTGAACACACGGAAACGATAACACCACTGTAATGCGTCCTATAAATTATAGAGAAAAATCCAACATATAATATGTTTGCATACATTGAAAAAATCTCTAACACAATAAAACATTGATTCAAATTGAAAGCGAATGAACAACTAGCTTAATGATTTTTCACTGGCGAGGGAACCTTCTCAGGTGCCAAAAAGCTTTTGACTCGATTGCTTGGAGGACCGCTAAATTAAAGATACCGATGCAACTTGCGCTTTGTCTAAGAGATCCAATTAATCACTAAGTTTTTCCCAATAGGATCATAATTATTAAGTA